GTTGAATATGTCTTATAATTCTATGGACAAAGTCGAACAACAGAAAATTAGCTGGAAACGAACGTCAATGAATCGTTGCCAGGTGACGAGGTCGCTCATAATCAATGTTTTTTTTTTAAATCACGCATGGTAACGCATGAAAGGTAAACCACGAACTGAACTGAGTGGATTGTTTTCGATGTCAATCCTTTACTGCCTATCATTGATTCTATATAACTTACTTTGATAGCAATCATACTTTATCGAACAAATATGTTAAATATCTACACCAAATAAACTAAAATACAGATGTACACACAAATAAAATAAGAAACTTGTGTTTGAAAACTCAAATTGACCATGAACTACTGCAAAAGTGTTTTTAAAATATTCGCACCTAATAATTATTACACAAAGTCACATTAAATAGTTAAAAAAGTGTATCATATATTGTGATATGAAAATCTAAAAAAATATTTTTTGGATTCTGTTAATAGACACATGCTAGAATTGCTTGAACTATTTCGATCAACATCATATACTATAGTTTAATTCCAGCATATATAATGTTATCGATCGAAAAAAAAAATTATACAATGTGCAAGCGTTTAGAGATTTTAAAAGGATATGTATTTGCATTTACAACTATTATTTGTAATACAATTATTTTACACTAGAATCGTTATTTAATGATGAGTAATAAGGGATCATGGTGAATCATACACAGAATATTAAAAACATCTTTTCGTTGCGTTCAATCCTCCGATAGTCGTTACAATACATGCTAATATACGGGGTTATTACTCAGTCAATTCCAATAACGTCGGTGAAACTATCGAAGTGGCAGGCGGGGGTTTCAGTGAAAGCAGACGTATAAGAAAACCAACTTGCGATGCATTTTGTAAATTGCAGTATATATCTGTTTCAAATGCTCATACACCGTCGCCATGGTGATAGCTAACGCGTATTTGTTACTTGCTTTAGATATCCAGAAAGATTCAATAATAAATAGACTGTTAATGACCTAAAATCGAGATATGGTTGAACAACCATGGCAATTTGAAATTCTCTATATATGCAAATAGTAAACATGATAGCGTAACATTAAAACAATTTAAGTATGTTAACTTATTTAATCGACGGATATGTATGCCTGGTTTGTGAAATTGATTGTGTCTTCGAGGACGAGACAAACGCAAATTCGTTGTAATGGGTTGGTACTTAAGTGTGTTATATCAAGTGGGAATGGGAAAATGTATCGGAAAAAAAAAAACTCTGATTCTGGGGTGAAATTTACGTACATGAAATCGTACATGAATGTATGCAGATTGGGATGAAGGAAATTTACAGATTTACACATTGAGTTTCTATGTCAAATGGTACGACATTACGATACAAACTGAAAGGCCACACTATTATTTGTGTATTGCCAATATTATAACTGTGCATTACGAAAAAGACGCTATTTATTAAGTTAATATGTGATTGGGTTACAGGATTTTTTGTCAGCGTTTATGGAGGTAGATTGCAAATAAACCATACTTGAGGACACACTTGATTCACTTGTATGCAGTTCGTATTTGACCGACTGACAAGAAGGGAATGCTCTTCCTGACACAAAAATAACACTTTTTAAAACATAAAATTTTTGATAGCAACATTGAATGGTTATTTGTCCTTACGGTTATGAGTTGTGGCAAGCACGAATTCATTGATATTTTTTTTACACTTTATAACAATTTTGAATTTTCCAACTTAAATGAGAATATGCCATTAATTAGTGATCTCAATTTACATGTATTATACATAATCACCCTGTCATGTAAACAAAGCTATAGCTAGAAAGCTTTGAATAAAGAAGTGGAAATACGTGACGACAATGAATCATTATGTTGCATGACAGTGCAGGAAATATTTTATTCGAAAACTCTTTTATCAATGCCATTTATTTGGTCCATTGCTCAGTGGAGATTACACATTGTTTTCGCATCATCGACGCCAAACCATTGTGCATTGCTATATACCATTCGATATGTGTTGATGTATTGAGCGTCCTAGGCAACAATTGATGTTATGTTAATCAATTGAAAAAAAAGATAAAGGCACCACTGATGACAAACCATACAAAACTAAACCCTAATGTATAAAAAAAAAAACATACCTACGATTGTCTCCAACGACACATCGTTCCTGGTATGACGGCGTTGTTATTTGGTACAACGGCTTTTCACGGTCTTTAAAGAAACCATATTATAATTTGCGGAGTGTAATTTAAATCACCTCGTCAATCATACTATACATCTTAATAGTGTCTGGAATTCTAATTTTAAATCACAGGATGAAATACATCGATCAATGTTAATCTTTACTAGTCAGAAACAACTATATATTGTCACGACGACTTCTAAATTTTACACTGGAACGACAAGACTAGAAAATAGCCAATACAGTGGAAATTATTGTAATTGATACGAACACTTGCGGTCGGGCGTTATCGGGACCGGGGAGGAAATGTTATTAATTACTTTACGCAACACTAACTCGACGCAGAATCTTTGTTCTATGTCAGATATTACCGTGCACTCCTTTTCTTTTGCTGAAATGATTAAGTCAGTACATGTCATACATAACCCAAAGGTCATGTGTCCCTATTGTTATCCCGAATAACGCCAATTAGACAGTTTGTAATACAAATCACTGTGAACGGAACGTCAGGCTTTTTATGGACTTAATCCATCTCATCTTGTAGACATACAAATGCCACCTCATCGGTACCCTTCAAACGAGACTTTCAGGGAAAGAATAACAATTCAAATTGCATTTAGCCTCTGGGTTTAGACACAGTATAATCTGTTCATTACATGTCCCGGATATTATGATACAGGAAGTCAATAACACAAACTCGCAAGCCAGTATCAACTTTGTCAGTCAATATTGTCATTTATCGACGATCACGTCGACATGTATTGATCAAAACGACACTGTTATGGTGAATTATAAAGTACAATAAAACCCAACGAATTGTATAGTAAATAAGCGATACATCATTTCCCAACGTATTCTTCGGAAACTATTGGTGGATCTCCCTTATGGCCTCCCCTGTCTAAGAAATATCAAAAGATCGACTAAAGTATAAGACGATTCAACAATCGATAGTGTGACTCGTATCCTAGCAACACAATATTATAGATTCACATTATTATTACTAATTCTAATAACGTGATCTGACAAAAAAAAAAAGATACAATAAATTGAAAGCGAACAACAAACAAGAAAGGAATAACAAATAAATGTTTTTCAGAAAATAAAAATAAAATGTGTCAATTTCATCTTGCCAAATCCTTTAAAAATTAATATTACATGTAGTATTTTTTCACGTATTGTGTTTGTTTATAACATAAACAATAATCGGAGTTGTCTATGTATGTTAGTCTATTTAGCACATGTTATTATATCTTTCGGTTACAATGAAAAATAGATTGGTGCTAATATTTAGTTTCTTTAGTACTTCTAGAAGGGGTGTGTGAATACGCATGTTAACTTCAGATCTTGTGTATGTGATGAATTAAAACCCCGTGTTGCGGGTTTATATATTCACTGTCGTTTTTAATGAACGTCCACTGAGTAACGTAAATCATTGGGTGACTGTTTTGTTTAATAAACAACATTATCAGCCTAGTTACATTACAAATAGACACAGTCCAATTACCACTTGCTGTCTTTTGCAGCATGACTTGTTCCAGCCTTGTCCTTAAGCAAGTTGATCTCTTCCATGAAGGCCAATCACAAAGATAACATCGACACATTATATACTCCGCGGGGACTGTTGCTTTCCTGGGCATATTACCAGTAATCCTTCGCAGTATTTATTGTATCTCACTGCCACTCTATGTATATTTAGGTATAATTAATACGTGTTTATTCATCAAAAAAAGTAATACAAAGCGTAAATTTACAATACGTTCAAATATCATGATGCGTCAATTAATTTTAAATCAGTAAATCATCCCACTCAGTTTATTAGGATGTCATGCACACAGTGTAGTCATTGTAAAATAAAAACACAAAAATAATCGCATATATTTGATATACGTATCAATCAATACTTGATGAAAACTGATTTTAATAACGACGGAACGTTTTTCAATAACACTGTGTTATAATAACAAGTGGTTTAATAGATTCGTTTATCTCGCACCTTTTAACTGCTAACCTGTTTACGTATTCACATATTGCATATGCACCATAAGCTGAATTGTTCACTGACCTGACTTAAAAAAGCACATTTTACATTTATTATTAAAAACTAAAGGCAGAGAATAATATCCATCGCAGAGAAATGAATATATTGCGTGATAAAACAGGCTACGCAGAACGATACACAATCCGATTAATAACAATTCCCAAGGCAGCTCAGAAGATCTGAAAATGCTATAATACTGTCACAAAAATACTGCGCGAATAAACATACCGTTGCTTTGTGTTGGCACATATTTAAAATTGCGGAGATTTATGCGTTTTAATTCTAATCTTTCTACCTCATTTGAGTTGTATTTCACCTATTTTATCAAAGTGTTTTTGTTTTATTCGAATCGTACTTTATCTGCATCGAAAGATGTAATTTGACGTGATACCGAATACGTAATCACGTCTTTGGATATACATAATTGAGTAGCTGCATGCAATATTATATTATTCAAAACTAGAATAATACATGACATCATAGATGGAATAGCAACAACATCGATGAAAGTCGTCCACATGTGACAATGACGTGCATATCGTTCATTACTGGCGCTGCAGGTGTTTCTGACATGAGCGATCACGTTTCATTCAGCAGGCGTGACACGTGTAACCAATATGCGATGGTAAACATCACTGCGTGCTGCTGTAGTATAATTCAAGTGTTTCCTTGCAGGCAATACGTGTTGTTACCGCAACAATTCCTAGTTACATACCTCAGTTGTAATGTAATGTAAATAACATTAAACCATGTTCATAACGTGTCTAGAAACGACTTATTACAACCGGTCAATGTGAGGATCTTGATTAAAAACCGTTACTGTCACAGAAGGCTTGTCTGTTGTAAATTTGGATAGCTGCATATTCATATTACTTGTGCTACCATTGACGCTTCTCCCATTTATTTCAAGTTTAGGGGGTTTTCTCTGATCTTGTCCAAACAATTTTGCAACGCTGCGACGAAAGTCACTTCTTACATACGTGTAAACGATAGGGTTAAGGCAACTGTTGGTGTAACTTAAGAAGGGACTGCAAAAATATGCAATCTTAAGCGCTCTCGGTCTCGATACATGACCATGTGTTGCTACAACCATCAGTTGTGATACCCAGAAAGGTAGCCAGCATAACACGAATAGAAGAATTGCTAGAAGAATCATCACACCTACTCTACCTAATTTAAACTGGCGACGGTTACGCCTATTTCCAATTTTCAAAAAATGGATAATATTGGTGTATGCGACCAACACGACCATGAGAGGCAATGCAAAACCGAGACAAAACGAGCAAATGATAAATATACGTTTGGAAAGATTCGGACAGATGATATTGCAAACCGTCACTCCAAAAAACGACTGCGTTTTTGCATACAGCCAAAGAGGAATCGTTATAATCGCCGACAACGTCCATGTTAATAAGCAGATGAATCTTGCCTTTGTCACTGTTCTATGAGTCTTGGACCACACTGGATGGACTATTGCCAAGTATCGATCAACACTCATCGCAGTCAAGGTGAAGATGCCCGTCAACATGTTCATGCCATCTATACCCATAATCAGTCGACACAGACTGTCACCGAACACCCACTTCCTTGTAATATTAAAGTAACCAAGGAAAGGTAATCCAAGCAGAAACAAGAAATCAGTCGAGGCCAGGTTCAATATATAAGCGCCCGGTACAGTATGCATAATTTTGTACTTCACAAGTACGTATATAACGACGCCGTTACCAACGATTCCACTGATGCAGACAACTCCGTAGAAAGCAGGCATAAACAGCGTGAACATCCACGGTGGAAAGGCTCCTGAGCCCTCATTGTCAAACGTCGTGTTATCGATTACGTCAAACTCACGGAAGCTTATGTTCCACTGCATTATGGCGATTCATCTGATCCAGGTGCTGTGATCATCTACCTAGCTCTACTATGACCCTGGTAATTAGAAACAGATTATCAATTTAGCGTTTTTTTTACGTACTACACCTTCATGCGTAACATATACAGTTATTGAACATGTCATAGTAAACAATGTTCTTACCTGACCCGCTAAGGTAAATGTTTGCTAAAGTCTCGGAGTACTGTGGATCGGGTAGTTCGTTGTATGTTTGGCTGCATATATGCTGACGAAGACGGGAATGATAATCACCAATGTAGAACTACTTCATCCATTCACCCAAACATGAAAAAGATAAGTGAAGGACAAAAAAAGCTTTCGTGGAATTTAAGACGCTAGCATGGATGCAATTTCGGCGTTTCTATTTTGAGCTGTTAACAAAGACTGCAAAACACACCATGCACCTCAGTATTGGCACACGGTTAGTAAGCTATTGTCATCCGTCGACAGGTGATGTTGTAGTCGCTGGAAGCTTGTTCTTCATAGTCACAAAGTAGTACACTTAGAAAAATTAAGGACGCAGTAATTCATATAACTCGCACACAACGAGATGCAACACGAAGCAATGATTAGGATAGAGCAGTTAATATACACACAGGGTGTCGGATCACATGGTGTAGTTTATACCAATATAGGTGGATCTCTGCCGAGCACGTAAACATCTGGCATAAACCTGACAGCGATGTGTTGATGCATGAATGAAGCTGATGCTGTGCTATGCTAATGCACTGTCCTCATTATGCATATTATAATCATCCATCGTGTTTGTTATCGATCACTATTGGGGAAGCACGTGATAAAACGTCAAAATAAGTGAAATTCTTGTGTCGATCAGATCAGATTTGTTTCAATATTGTACCATATCTAATTTTTCTGATAGTACCGGCGAATACAGATAAAAGAGCGCTTTTATTCGTTATCCACAGTAACATTTTCTTGTGTGTAGTACAAAATAATGCAATTCTCGTCCAAGTTAGACTTGAAGAGACCTTGCATGAATAATCGAGAATTTATAATTAAAAATCGTGATTTTAAGACTACAGTATGGCCATTTTTATATTGAAATACTGATTAATGAAGGCCATTACTATATTAGTTATTTGAATAAATAATCAATAGTGAGTGAATATAACATTTTTCTGTAATGTATTTAAGATGGAATATTATTTTTTTATCGTCACTAATAATTTAGAATAATCTTTTCCATACTGGTACCTATATGGCAACAATACTGATATTATTTTGTAATACAGTAATCGGATTAGTCATCGTAAACAAATTTCATTTTCTCCTACCCGGTTATTCAATTTTTTACATGCACCGAAAAGAATAATATCAAAACATAACAGCTCGAATATTATGGTGTGCATCTGTTATTGCGTCTTGTGACTTGCATTAGGACAACTCATCTTTTTAACGCGCAACTAGAATCGTGAATTAATAATGTCGAAGGCAATTGTAACATGCGTTACAATATCGACATTGTGAAATTTAAATTACATATATTTCTGCGCACGCTCGGCATTAAAATCAATCACTTGTGGATATCAGACACAACCTTCCGGCTTTCCGAGTGTTTGGCAATATATTATATTATTCAGTGGCTGAGTAATGTGTGTTTGTAATCACATTAGACACACATGTGTCCGCCCGCCCCATCTTTATTTTTCACTTTTATTAAACTTTATTCGCATGAGTGTAGTGCATAGCACATTGGAATGTATCATGCATGTATGTACCTTTAGTGGAGCTTGTGATATCTTAAATCCTTTAAATATGGTCCTGACAAGATGTTAGTCAAGTAGTTCAATCTGTTGTTTGGTCTGTTATTTCAAATCACCATCTGTCTTAATATTGAAGACAGGACCGTCCAGGAGTTCAACGAAACAGCTGTAGTATGGGAGAGGTGCTAGTTGTTTAAAAAAAGTAATCACATCTTGTAGAGTAACCGAAGGGCTGAGTTTTGCAGTACGTCGAAATTGCAATTTATATGGACCTTTTTATCTGAAGAAACTATACGATCGTTCTACATCGTAACCTCGAACATAAGTGTGCGTCAAATATGTGTTTTCATTACGATCGAAATAAATGTGCCCATTAGACTCATTTAAACGTTATTTAAAGATGGTTTGCGTCAACACACAATCACCCTAAATGTATAAATAATGTATCCGATGGACATGTAATATAGCAAGTTGTCATGGTTATATTTTTCTGCATTAAATAAATATCTTCAAATTTAATTTACTAGGATGGTTGCCGCTGGAAGGGAACGGCGATAGGATTTTATTTCTAAACCACCCTGAATTAATCACAACGGCAAAGCATGGGTCTCGAAATAAAGTAGATTTATTCATGAATACTGGAAACGTGCCGGTAAATATAAATTATGTAATTACAGTAATAAAATGTTCTGTCACATTTATTCATAATCCGGCGGCATTTTTTGCTCGTTGGATGCTACCCACACTTTTTTTTACCGCCACTGTATGTATAAATCCGACGTAAACACGGTTAAGACGAGTGTGACCTATATATGTGAAAATATATTTATCACATGAATTTTTGATTCAAGATAATTTGATGAGCTTTTTCTTGATTCCAGCAGCTTAGATATTTATGCAAAACATTCATGTTAGATATCAGTACGCCGTGTAAGCAAATATGTATATTCATACGTGACCCAACATACGGACAATCAGTTCGAAGTTATCAGTTGTGGACTTATTTATGCACAACATTCAGATATCAATACGCCGTGTAAGCAAATACGTCTATTCATGCGTGACCCAACATACGGACAATCAGAGTCGAAGATATCAAGTGATCAGTTGTGGACATATTTCAACGATGATTGGTAATAGTTGCATACGATTATATCCACGGCAATCAACTTGCTATATTTGGTACGTGCACGTAATTATTGATGGTCGTTGATTCCTGATTGAAGATTGATATGTGCTGTCACGTCCCACGTCTATTTGGGATAAGCCTGACGAATGCATAACTAACTAAACCATTTTTTTTTCAGTAATACAGCATCAATTATTTTGATCAACCATATACACTTGTTTTGGTAAATAAATAGTTTGAAATATAAAGTAGTAGGTGATATATACAACACCACTGTCGTGTATATTTACCGTACTTATATTCTACGAATCTAAGAAACCAAGGCAACAAGATAAACAATAGGCAAGTTTAAAGGGCATATTCCTAATTTCATATGAATTCAATAACAAGACCGCATCACTTTTGTTCGAGCATCGTGTTGACGCTGGAAAAGTAGTTTAGTCAGTGACGTATAACGGGGCGAATGCAAACAGAACTCATATACTGTTATTATATTACACTGTTATCATATTGCTATGCTCGTAAGAGGAATGTTATATTGATGTATAATCGCGGGACTAGGAATTCATCAATTTTGTGAAAAGCATCAGCTATATTCATGCATCAACTACTCTCTGTCAGGTTTATGCTAAAAATGCAAATGATCGCTAAGATCTCGCTTAAAGAGAGGGCCGCGAGACTTGTTTTTGCCTCCAAAATACTTTTTTTTCGTCACCACCTGTTATCGCGTTCGATGTTCCAAATAGCATGATTACACAAGCAGGATTACAGTGAACGCAATGACAAGAAGAATGAAACAGTATTGGAGAGAGGTAATACGATTCTCGTGAATCTCGTTTTTAACGAGACCTCAGTGGCCATTATAGTCTAATAAGCTATATTGGAGCTATTGTAAGCATTTCATTTCTATCAATATGAATATATTATAGTACGTTTCTGGATAGTCTCGAACTTAAATTTATTAGCTGTACATTTTTTTAAATTTCATTTTAATGTTGCAAATACAGTATTGGTATATTTTATTTTATACTTCCTTTCAGTGATCGGTGCGTGGGACTACATTTTATTCGTTAAATGACACACACAGTCATGTATCATATTAACATATAACATGTGGAGTGACAGTTATAATTAAAAATGGAGAAGCAGTCGGTTATTCCTATCACATGTATCGTGTCTTATTATCACAATCACTTTCGTGGTAAGCTACATAATGAATGCCAATTCCTGAAGATGCATTATAAAATAGGTAATGTTTTTTAATGAAATAACATGCTTGTATACGATACAATATATCATAATTGTGTATTAACATTGTTCTATGGAATTTTCCTGAATATTCAAAAAAAAAAATCAAAATTACATAGATAAATATGAGTCTGTTCACTCTATGGCGATTTCCTCAATGTGCTGATTAGAAAATACTGATTTGCATCAGTTTATTCATAATACTACTGTAAGTAAGTAGATGTCAGGTTGTCTAGATTACTTTAACCCCCTTGAACATAGAGTCAACCTTTGTCAACATGCTGTAATAAATAAAATATGATGTGTATGTCCATTATTGTCATCATTATTATTACAAGTTCAAGGGTCAATAATTTATCAATAAAGCACAAATACCTGTGCACATGAGATTTAGTGCTAGTAATGACATGTGGCAACAAAACGACTCCCAGGTGACGTCGAATGGCGTAAATCCGGGTATTTAGTGTCACGTGATTGTATTAGTTAGTTTTAATGTAAGTAAAACATTTTTTTTAGCACTTCGTCGCATCTTTGAGAAAGTTAGTTAATAAGAAAGTTTACAATTTATGTTTTCCAAGCTTTCCCTACAACTGCAAGAACACTTAAATTTAAAAACAAAACACAAAGACATTTTACAATATCACCATCAGGATATAATCTAATTTTATGCAAATTAGGCACTATTATTATTATGCTTGAATTGAAATTAATAATCAATTGAAGTCTGCACGGGTTTCAATAAAGTCTTTTGAGTGATTTTTTTGAGATACTCGTGCAAAAAATGACGAATCATAATTTAAATTATACAATCACTGGTTTCAACAAATAAATAAATTCGATGTACCAAGTTTGAATGTTGACACTTTCACTGACAATGTGAT